ATAGAAATTTGGAGGGTGTTGCTATTTAAGGCTGAAATTAATTTTGAAGGCAAAGTTGACCCAAGTTGGTGACTTGAAGGCAATTTTTTTAGATCAATGTTCAACATTTATTCGCAATTAATTAATTCGAAACGAGACCTACTTCGATCACTTATGATTAGCGATTTCTTAGATTCGGTTGCATTCTCTGATATCGCTTTAATTTATCAAATATACAGGAAAACTTGCGGAGCATGGCCATCTGAAGTTAAAATGGGCGAATTTCTATTTTATTAAATTTTCCAAGTGACTGCCCAGCAACTTTTGCTTTTTGTGATAGACAGTGTTTTTGGGTGATGATGAATTCACCTTAACCAGACATTTCTTGTGTTTCCAGTTTATTAGTGAGTTATGGATTAGGCTGAACCGTCTTCGTAATATTAAAAACACGATTGTCGTCTACCTATAAAATGCGACTTAATGTATTGCTTGCTGGCAGTGGAACTTGTATTTCGTACAGTTGATGTTAACCCACCAGAACAGTAACTAGGATCACCGGAAGGATTCTAAATTAGCCAAATGACCTTTATTTGTCTGAAAACAGACAGGTTCTTACTAGCATGCGTTCATATTTAGTGTAACAGTTCTAGATTTCAAACTTCGAATTATAATGACAATTAAAATGCTGTTAATGTATGACAATGTAAATATTATATGATGACAACCTTGCAATCAGAAAGCTGGCTGTTGGCTGCAAATAGAAGACTCGGGGCCTGTTCCTCCATTCCCTTAGAAAAATTCAAGATGGGCCCGGAAGTATCGGATGTAGCTACGGAATTGATGGTCTTCTTTGGCCAATCGACTTCATAAGAGGGAGGTGTGGGAGGCTCTACAGCAGCCTTGAACTTTGGTCTCTGCTGTGCTGTTCCGAACTTATTTTCTGAGATAGTGGTCTGGACAACGTTTGTTGATCCAGAAGATGTGATAGTTGAATTGAGCAGCTTTTCCTCTTTTATCTGGGTATACGAAATGTAAATCAGAATTTGCATTAATCCCTCACCTAGTTAAGATGCAGGTTAAGCTATTAGTACAACGATAACGTCAAATGTTTCCACAAAATTAAATCATTTTAAGCATAGATCGCAATTAGTTGCATCGATTAAGGAAGATCACACAAACATTTTTTGTAATTGAGAAGTGTGTCACTTACATTCCGCCAGTCGATAATCATTCTTTCTATGGCTACTCGAGTATCAATAAGCTGTCGATTCCTTGTGATCATCTGTGCCTGTCCTTTCGCAACCAAGTCATTTTGTTCCTTCTGTTTCGTTGAACTTGGTGGATCAGAGACCATAACAAGATAGCTATAGTTCTTGTCAATGTTAAAGCGTTTTGCGTCGTATTTCTGGATCAATGTCATTGTGGGATCAGTTACCGTCTCCTCTTCCTCACTGGGATAATAAATTGTCTAATAAGATAATAAAACTTTTCGGGGAATTCTATCAGGTGGATACTTGGGTAGAATCTATGGTCTAGGGTGCAAGATAGCCCAACAAAGTAGAATTGACATCATCACTCGTTGGCGAAATGTTAAATACGTTATTGACAGATTTTATTACAAAACGGCCAAAATTCACCACTTATACAAAATAGCGCTTTCTTACTATGCAAATATCAGTTTTTATTTTTCTTGTGCATTGACTCATAAACTAGTCGATTAGTATCTATAAGTTTGGCTGTTGCAAAAAAGCAAAACCATTGATGCATGATTCATTGGCACTACCTCATATTTTGTAATGACGCTAAATTCATCAAGCTTAGTTGGCATAAATCCTTGAAACCATTGAGTGGTTAGCATACTTTGCCACAGGCCAAAGCTGTTTAGAGATCTTCAAGTCTAAATTAAGAATCTCCGATGACGATAAGACACAGTTTTGTAGTTATCATGTACACTTGCTGAGGTACCATGCTCTTCACTCGACTTATGTTCAAAACTTGGAAAACAATGAATATTCAGTTTCATAGTTTACGGTCACAACAAGGCAGATACGGTAATGGGAGGGAAGCAATGCATTTTGCAAAACGATTGCCACAGCAGCACAATTTTATTTCCAAGCGGAAACCCCAGTGCTCCGCCACCACCATAGTATATTGATTTACAATTACTTTTCTGTAATGTTACGATAAGTAACTTAACTAAAACGTACAGAAGCTGTGGTATTGAAAAGATGTTTATACTTCAGACTATGCATCGGCGTGACTCCAATGGCAAGCATTTGGTCCCCACCATAAGCCTCAACGTACTCAGCCACAGCTTCGCCAGCAATTTTGCTTATTCCACGATCAAGACCATCACCAATAATCCAACAACCTAAAAAGGAACCGAAAACGAAATTCAAATGCAAAAGAAAACGAAATCATTTACAAGCAAGGTATAAAAACCAAACACACATGTCGAAAAAAATGAGCCTCGTCCTAAAAGTAAGGTTTGCCAGGGGAATGAGGAAGTTAGTCCAACCAAAACACGAAGGGGAGATAAGTGGCTAGCAGGAAGCGAACACAGCAATCATGAGCGAAGATGATTCAATTGGTTTGCG